GACCAGGTGTGGCCTTCGAAAAAGAAAGAAAAACCCTCATAAACGTCGCATTCTCTACTTAAGTGTCCCACCGTAAATGCCTTTGTTATCGCGTGGGCTTCGCGCACCGCTGACGTTTCTCGTAGGCCACAAACTGGCAATCGTCACTGGATAGACGGCGCCGCAACCTCACGTGACGGCGTGTGGACTGCCTGTAAATAAATTACGAAAGACTCCCTTCAAAGTTCGAAGATGGATCTTTCAAAAGCTCAAAACGTCTCCGGCTCTTGTTGGGTGAAACCTGGCCCCACACTGCCACCCAGAGCCGAGGAAGCTTCATGAACTGTTCACGCCGTTAAAGCCTCTAGAGCAGGGGCTGGGGAAGCTTTCATTTTGCCAAGGACCATTTCGATATTTACAACATCATTCGCGGGCCATACAAAATTATCAACTTAAAAATTAGCCCGTTATATTTTGTCAAACATTTAATTAACTCACCCCTAATTCGACGGCTGGAACTGCTTCTCTTTGGCGAGGCGTGTGATGATGTTAGCTGCTGGTGATGATGATGTTGCTACTCGCAACTGCTTTTCCAGGTTTGCTCCGAGATTTGTTGAATTTCGAGTTCCGCCTGCGGTGGCCCTGGCAGGGCCACGCCAAATGATTTCGCGGCCCTACACGGCCCGCGGGCCTACGCGGCCCCCACGCCTGCCCTTTAGCAATAGGTCTATAAAGCTCCTCTATAACCGAGGCTCCTATAAATGCCTCATAAATGGCCTCGGCTCCTCGATAGAATGCGCCTATAAAGGCCAAGCTCCTCGATATCACAGGCTCCTATATAGGGCTCCTATATAGCCTAGGCTCCTATATAGGGCTCATATATAGCCTAGGCTCCTATATAGGGATCCTATATAGCCTAGGCTCCTATATAGGGCTCCTATATAGGGCTCCTATATATGTATATTTGGAGTTTGCGTGTCTCTCTCTCTCCGTAGGCGCCTGAATTTTTCTCCGGGTCCTCCGGGTTTCCCCCCACCCTCCACATTAGAGAATGAACATCACGTGCTCGGAGTATTTGGCTCCTGCTATAAATTTGGCTTCTGTAAATGTGCACGTGGTGATGATGAGCGCACCTCCGTTGAGCTTTTATTTGCGATGGGCGGCTCGCTTCTGCAAGAGAGAGAGCTACTACAGAGCAGTTCAGTGGAGCCTTACAGCTGCCACAATAAAAATAGTTTAGTTTAAGTGTGGCTTGGGATGGGCCTCTTGCATAAGAGTGCTCATAATCCCCGTCTCGTTTTGTGGGTTTATATTTAACTTCGCATGCCAGAGTCACCGCTGCACAACCAACACGCCCTGCCGCTCCACGTCAAGAAGTAACAATAACACCACGAGTATTTTTACACCTCCAATTAGCCACACCACGCAACTCCACACCGGTTTCGACATCCGGTGTCTCATTGGCAAAAGTCACGCGCACTTAAACCAGCGTTCTGATCACCTGTGTGACAGGTAGAAGTCTCACCGGAGTGGCAGGTAGAAAGATCACCTGTGTGACAGGTAGAGAGATCACCTGTGTGACAGGTAGAGGTCTCACCTGTGTGGCAGGTAGAGAGATCACCTGTGTGACAGGTAGAGGTCTCACCTGTGTGGCAGGTAGAGAGATCACCTGAGTGACAGGTAGAGAGATCACCTGTGTGACAGGTAGAGAGATCACCTGTGTGGCAGGTCGAGAGATCACCTGTGTGACAGGTAGAGGTCTCACCTGTGTGGCAGGTAGAGAGATCACCTGAGTTACAGGTAGAGAGATCACCTGTGTGACAGGTAGAGAGATCACCTGTGTGGCAGGTAGAGAGATCACCTGAGTGACAGGTAGAGAAATCACCTGTGGAGTTGCATGTGTTCCATAGATGAGAATAATAACACGCGTGTTTATGCAGCGTAAAGATTCCGAATTACAGGGTGGTCCGGATGTCTTGAGACCCTCCCCCCTACCCAGACATAACGAATGTTTTTTTCACTTTGTATATTCCTTTCTTATTCTTGGTTCTTTCGGTAAAGTCATGGAGAAGGGAAATAATAAAAGAATAAAAATATTAAACAATAAAAATCTCACGACGTTTCGACTGCAACACAAGCAATCATCATCAGGTGTGAAATCCACAGCAAGAAAATTTGAATAAAGTGGCGGTTTTTTTTTGCAGTCGAAACGTCGTGAGAATTGTTATTGTTTTATATTTTTATTATTTTATTATTTCCCTTCTACGTGACTTTACCGAAAGAACCACGAACATGAATCCCTGCAGTCACGAAAGCTTTAAATCAACATTTACATTCCCTTCTGTTTTAAATACAAATGTCTTACAATATATACATTTCGTTTTAGAGATTTAATTGTAAAGGGGGGGGGGGGGGGGTCACAAGACATCTGGAACCAGATGTCTTGTGCTCGAGGCGAGGGCTCAACGATTTGGGCGGGAATGTCTCATGGCGATGTTTCTGACAGATAATGCGATTTGCGATTAAACATTTTCAAGTTAAGCTTCAGTTCAATATTCCCTGTGGAATAGATTTCAAACATGTGGTGGAGCATTACCACGTGATACCATGAAATATCAATTGCTCTAAAATATTCTAATGCAAGGATGAGCACTTAAAAAATATGAATTGCTTCCAACGTGTATTTATTAAAAATGTTTTCATTGAAATAGAACAATCAAACATAGAACAATTGTTAAGTTAGATAAAGTTCAAATAATACTATTCCAATAAGAAAGTTTTAGGACTTTTCAAATTGCAAAAAATCGCAGCATTTGCGATTTGATAATCGCATTGTTTCAAATTGCGATTTCGAATTGAAATCGATTATTCATTCAGCCCTATCGAGACACAAATATTCCCTGGAGTGAGCATCACCGCCTCCTGGCTTTCACTCCTCCTCCTCCTCTTCCTCGCTTTGACATTCCAAGCTTCAACAACAACAACATCAACATCATCAACATCGTCAAACCAAACAATCAACTTGTTTTATTGTCCCAGGTGAGGCTCCACTGAGCCGTGTAGATGTTTTTTTCAGAAGCGACCTGCCCATCACAAATGGCAGCCTCAACGAAGTGGTGGATCATCATCATCATCATCACCACCATCACCACGTGGAGATTCATAGCAGCAGCCAACTACTCTTAGAGCGTGATGTTGATTCCAAATTTGAAGGGGGAAAACCACAGTACCCGGAGAAAAATCCACGCGAACACGGAGAGAAAGAGACACGCAAACTCCAAATATACAGCAGCAGCAGGCGTCAGGGTCGGGATCGAACCCACCGGCCTCCTGTAGGCCAGGCGAGGTAGTTAACATCTCCCTCACTGTCATTGTTGCTGTGTTATAATTGCAGTCGTAGCAGTAGTGTGACCATTGCTGTGTTTATTGTTAGTATTATAGTGGTAATATTCGTGTAACTATTGTGTATTATTATGATGATTGTAGTGGTAGTAGTGTAACCATGTATGTGGATTATTATAGTGGTAATATTAGTGTACCCATTGTGTATTATTAGGATTGTAGTGGTGGTAGTGTAACCAGGTATGTGTATTGGTAGTATTGTAGTGGTAATATTAGTGTACCCATTGCTGTGTTTATTATTATTAGGATTGTCATGGTAGTAGTGTAACCATGTATGTGTATTAGTAGTATTGTAGTGGTAATAGTAGTGTACCCATTGTGTATTATTAGGATTGTCGTGGTAGTAGTGTAACCATGTATGTGTATTAGTAGTATTGTAGTTGTAATATTAGTGTACCCATTGTGTATTATTAGGATTGTCGTGGTAGTAGTGTAACCAGGTATGTGTATTGGTAGTATTGTAGTTGTAATAGTAGTGTAACCATGTATGTGTATTAGTAGTATTGTAGTTGTAATATTAGTGTACCCATTGTGTATTATGATGATTGTCGTGGTAGTAGTGTAATCATGTATGTGTATTGGTAGTATTGTAGTGGTAATAGTAGTGTAATCATGTATGTGTATTGGTAGTATTATAGTGGTAATAGTAGTGTACCCATTGCTGTGTTGATTACTACTATTATTACTATTTGTATCACTACGAGTACTCAGTAGGGTCCGTGGTGGTGCCGTAACCATCGCTGCGGTCGGATGATTTCCGCCCAGCTCCTCGCTGGACACGGCCTCGGTGACCCCTCGCTGCTACCGCTGCTGCTGCTGCTGCTGTTGCCACTGCTGCTGCTACTGCCGCTACTGCCGCTACTGCTGCTACTGCTGCTACCGCTGCTGCCGCTGCTGCTACTGCTGCTGCTACTACTACTGCTGCTACTGCTGCTGCTACCGTGCTGCTACTACTGCTACTGCTGCTACCGTGCTGCTACTGCCGCTACTGCCGCTACTGCTGCTACCGCTGCTGCCGCTGCTGCTACTGCTGCTGCTACTACTACTGCTGCTACCGCTGCTGCCGCTGCTGCTGCTGCTACCGTGCTGCTACTACTGCTACTGCTGCCACCGTGCTGCTACTGCCGCTACTGCCGCTACTGCTGCTACCGCTGCTGCCGCTGCTGCTACTGCTGCTGCTACTACTACTGCTGCTACTGCTGCTACCACTGCTGCCGCTGCTGCTACTGCTGCTGCTGCTACTACTGCTGCTACTACTGCTACTGCTGCTGCTACCGCTGCTGCTGCTGCCGGTATATCGCGCGCCTCTTTAGACGCCGATCAATTGATGCTTCGCTAATGGGACGCAAGAGAAGCCAGGAGATTTTAATGGAACGTGAGCCCCGCCACCACCACCAGCACCACCAGCGCGGCTTGAGGAGGAGGAGGAGGAGGATAAGGAGGGGGTGGGTGGGGTGGAGATTCGCCGCTGAGTGCTTCACGATGGAAGCTCATCACGAATTAATGAGGCGGACACGACTCGGATGAAGCTGTGTGGTGGTGGTGGTGTGGGGTGGTGAGGGTGGGGGAGGCGGTGAGTCGGCGGTTCGGACGATTCGGGGTGGTCGGTGGCGATCGAGGAGAGAGGAGAGAGATCTGTGATTGCTCGTTACGCGGTCACATCCACGCGTGGTCGTGGTGGTGGTGGTCGTGGTGGTTGTTGGTGGTGGTGTTGGCGCTCGCGTTAGATATGGAACAGGTTCGACGTTTCGGTCACTGTGGCAGCAGCGCGCTTCCTGAAGAGAGCAGATGGGGTAGAGAATAAACCATCATCATCATCTCGAGAAAGAAAGAGAGAGAGAGGTGTAAGTGGCCGCAAATGTCCAGCGCCAGCGTCGCGGAGCTCGCCATGAGACGCGGCTGCGCATCGCCACAACCCGCCACGGAGAGCGGCAGCGGCAGCAGCTACACGCTCTTCACCACGCACGACCTGCCCAGCCATCACCACCACCACCAGTATCCCCAACAACAACAACATCAGCACCATCATCATCAGCAGCAGCAGGGCCAGGAGCTGCCCGTGGCGGCTTGGAGCGAGCGCGTGTCCATCAACGTGTCGGGGCTGAGGTTCGAGACGCGTCGCAGCACCTTGGAGCGCTTCCCCCGCACGCTCCTGGGCGACGCCTCTCGCCTCCTGCGATTCTTCGACCCGCTGCGCGACGAGTACTTCTTCGATCGCAACCGCGACAGCTTCGGCGCGATCCTCTTCTACTTCCAGTCGGGCGGCAGCCTCCACCGGCCCTCCGTGGTGCCCCACGGCCTCTTCGTGGAAGAGGTGCGCTTCTACGACCTGGGCGCCGAGGCGCGCGGCCGCCTCTGCGAGGAGGAGCGCTGTTCCCGGGAGGATCCAGACCGGCCGCCGCCGCTGCCGCGCAATCGCCTCCAGCGGCGCGCCTGGCTCCTCTTCGAGCACCCCGAGAGCTCCGTGTGGGCGCGCGGCGTCGCTCTCGTCTCGGTGCTCGCCACGCTCGCCTCCGTGGTGGTCTTCTGCCTCGAGACGGTGCCGCACGGCGAGCGGAAGAGCGGCGACGAGAAGGGGGCGAGGGGCGAGGAGGGGGGCACGGCAGGCGCGTTCGCCGTCGAGGTGGCGTGCATCGCCTGGTTCTGCCTCGAGCTGCTGGTGCGCTTCTGCGCGTGCCCCGTTAAGGCGGCCTTCTTCAAGAACTTCATGAACATCATCGACGTGCTCGCCATCGTACCCTTCCTCACCATGCTCTGCCTGCCCGACGCCGACATGCAGAGCGCGCAGCAGCAGGCGCTGTCCTTCGCCATCCTCCGAATCGTGCGCCTCGTGCGCGTCTTCAGGATCTTCAAGCTGTCGCGACACTCCAGGGGGCTGCGCATCCTCGGGCAGACCCTGAACGCGTCGATGCGCGAGCTCGGCCTGCTCGTCTTCTTCCTCTTCATCGGCGTCGTCCTCTTCTCGAGCGCCGTCTACTACGCAGAGGTGGACGAGCCGCTCACCAACTTCACGAGCATCCCCGTCGCCTTCTGGTGGTCCATCATCACCATGACCACGGTGGGCTACGGCGACATGTACCCCATCACGCTGGGCGGGAAGATCGTGGGCACGCTGTGCGCCATCGCCGGCGTGCTCACGATCGCGCTGCCCGTGCCCGTGATCGTCTCCAACTTCAACAACTTCTACCACCTCGAGATGGACGGCGGCGGCGACTCCACTCGCGCCTGCGCCGACGACTTCGAGCCAAGCGACGCCGACGACTCGGTCGCCACCGCAGGAGGCCCCGGGATCATCTCCTGCCCCACCTCCTCCTCCACCTCCTCCTCCTTCTGCTGCTGCTGCCGCCCGTCTCGCGGGGCGATCAGTCCCGGCGACATGACGCCCGGCACCGACGCGCCCCAGACGCCCGAGTCGCCGAGGAAGGAGCCGAAGGAGCGGGAGACGGAGGATGAGAAGGGGTCGACGTTGAAACTCCGCGAGATGGGAGACGCGGCACTGGGCGACGAGGAGGAGGAGGTCGAGGATGAGGAGGAGGAGGAGGAGAAGGAGGAGCGCGCGAGCGAGCGGTGCTTGCACTCTTCCCTGGAGTGGGAGGCGAAGGAGGAGGTCGTGGTGGAGACTGACGTGTGATGGACCTCACGTCTCCCTGCGTCTCCATCTCTCTGTCTCTCTCGCCTCCCTCTCGCTCTCGTGCCTCGCCTTATCTCTCCGTGTCTCTCTCTCCGTGTCTCTCCCTGCGTCTCCATCTCTCTCGCCTCTCTCTCGCCTCCCTCTCGCTCTCGTGCCTCGACTTATCTCTCCGTGTCTCTCTCTCCGTGTCTCTCTCCGTGTCTCTCTCTCGTGTCTCTCCGTGTCTCTCTCTCGTGTCTCTCTCTCGTGTCTCGCTCTCTGTCTCTCTGTGTGTCTCACTCTTTGTCTCTCTCCGTGTCTCTTCCTGCGTCTCGCTCTCTGTGTTTCTCTCTGTCTCTCTCCGTGTCTCTCTTCGTGTCTCTGCGTGTCTCTCACTGTGTCTCGCTCTCTGTCTCTCTCCGTGTCTCTCTCCGTGTCTCTCTCCGTGTCTCTCTCTCGTGTCTCTCTCCGTGTCTCTCTTCGTGTCTCTCTCCGTGTCTCTCACTGTGTCTCGCTCTCTGTCTCTCTCCGTGTATCTCTCCGTGTCTCTCTCTCGTGTCTCTCTCCGTGTCTCTCACTGTGTCTCGCTCTCTGTCTCTCTCCGTGTCTCTCTCCGTGTCTCTCTTCGTGTCTCTCTTCGTGTCTCTCACTGTGTCTCGCTCTCTGTCTCTCTCCGTGTCTCTCTCCGTGTCTCTCACTGTGTCTCGCTCTCTGTCTCTCTCCGTGTGTCTCTCTCCGTGTCTCTCTCCGTGTCTCTCTCCGTGTGTCTCTCTCCGTGTCTCTCTCCGTGTCTGTCTCCGTGTCTCTCTCCGTGTCTCTCTCTCGTGTCTCTCTCCGTGTCTTTCTTCGTGTCTCTCTCCGTGTCTCTCACTGTGTCTCGCTCTCTGTCTCTCTCCGTGTCTCTCTCCGTGTCTCTCTCCGTGTCTCTCTCTCTCGTGTCTCTCTCCGTGTCTCTCTCTCGTGTCTCTCTCTCGTGTCTCTCTCCGTGTCTCTCTCCGTGTCTCTCTCTCGTGTCTCTCTCCGTGTCTCTCTTCGTGTCTCTCTCCGTGTCTCTCACTGTGTCTCGCTCTCTGTCTCTCTCCGTGTCTCTCTCCGTGTCTCTCTCCGTGTCTCTCTCCGTGTCTCTCTCCATGTCTCTCTCATGTCTCTCTCCGTGTCTCTCTCCGTGTCTCTCTCCGTGTCTCTCTCTCGTGTCTCTCTCTATGTCTCTCCCTGTGTCTCATTCATCTTCTCTCTCCCTCTCTCTGGGTTCATGCCCGGCTAGTTGTTACCAATCGCCTGACGAAGCTGGTGGTGGTTATTGTTGTAATCAACCAGCGACACGTCACAGTACTGGAATTGTAAATGTTGTGTGGGTTTCACTCTCCAACACACAAGCGGTTAGTGCTGCGCTAGTAACTCGTCGGCACGTTCTGTTGACTTGCCAAACCCCTTACTAGTTGGCTGTGTCGGGTGGTGGCGAGTTTAACGACACATTTATATATTTACGCGATCTAAACCAACAAAAAACATGTTGATTGTGGATAATTTTGGTGGCGAAAACCTCCTCCTCCTCCGACGAGGTGTTAAACGGTGCGATTCTAGTGCACGTCTGTGCACAACATCGGATCCCTCCAGGATACATTCAGATTGTGACTGTGATTCTGTCATCGATTATCGCGTCAATCACTCGACAACGTCACCATGTGTCTGTCTGCGTCGGGTGGCGGAGGGCCTTGACGACACGCGTTCGCTCAGACCATTGCGTCGCCTTCAAACCAAACAGCCCGTTATGAACCTAACAGGGTTGTTGTTGTTGTTTTTGTTGGGGCTTCATCGTGTAAATAGAAATGTTGTGCCCTTAAACCCGTAACCGCCACCACCACCACCCGACACGGCCAATTAATAAGGAGGTTGTCTCGTAAGCACCAGGTGGACAATGATTTACGAGTTCCGCACTAACCGCTTGTGTGTTTTGAGTGCAAACTATAAATGTTGTGGTGGGTTTCTCTCTCCCAACACGCAACCGGTTAGTGCTGACCTAGTAACTAAACTGGCACTTTGTTTATGTACGTGACTAAATCCTGACCAATTGGCTGGTGGGTTGTTATATTTATGCGATCTCACCCAAACGACAACAAAGCCAACTTTGATTGTGCACAACATTAGGTCGCGAAACCCTCCTGCTGCTACTGCTGCTGCTACGTGTTACACCCTACCTATGATGAGCCGCACGTTGGCTTTTCGAAACCCACCGCGTGCTATCAAGTTGAGCGTGAGCTGGGTGCAGTACCGGATTATCCTCGCAGCACAAGTAGCTACTACATATGTAAGGTTAGAGATTTGTCGTATTATCTTGCTCATAGCAAATGACATATGTAGTAGCTACATATGCAGTAGCTACTACATATGTAGTAGCTACTACATATGTAGTAGCTACACATGCTACGGGCCCCGCACTTTCAAGGGCCCCGCGTTAAATGCTTTCAAGCTATCAACTCTGGCTCAGTGAGTCTGCACTTGCTCTATTACTATAGTACTATACCGCCTTCGACTATTACGAACGACCGGGTGTTTAAGGTTAGAGATTTGTCGTATTATCTTGCTTATAGCAAATGACAAAAATACAATAACTGTACTGTGCAAGTTAACTATGTATGTATTTATAACGTGTTTTTTTTATTTAGGACCCCTTTATAACAAATGCTACAGGGCCCGCACTAGCTTCATCACTGGCTGAGTGCTTCTGCCATCCCCCCCGTACAGCCGAATGGGGCACCGTGGGGGTGGTGGTGGTGGTGGTGGAGGTCGTCGTCTTCATAACGCAGCGATGCTCGCAACAACGCAGAATGCACAGATCGCGTTCACTCGTCGTCAGCAGCAGCAGCAGCTACGGGCTGTTCACTGGGTGGATGTAGTAATGTAAGAGTGTATCGGCATGGTGCATTGGCATGGTGCATTGGCATGGTGCATGGGCGTAGTGTATTGCCATGGTGTATCCCCATGGTGTATTGCCATGGTGTATCCCCATGGTGTTTCGGCGTGGTATATCCCCATGGTGTTTCGGCGTGGTGTATTACGGAGTGTTAATCATCTGGACGCAAAGGCGTGCGCTGTTAAATCACGCCACGGCTCGCCACGCGAGCGCGGTGTTGATGATATCGAGGCCGTCCACAGAGGCGGGGGAGGGGTGGGGGTGCGTGCTGGGTCCGGGGGCAAATCCCACCGTGTGCCGCCCCCCCCTGCCCCCCAAAGCGCACGAGGGGGTCCCGGGGCGGTCGCTCTGATTCGCCGTACCCGAGGGACGATCCCGCGCATTGTGTGATTCTTTTTAACGAACAAAACTGCAGGTGGCGCTGTGACGCCGTGACGCTGTTGCCACGTGACCTCGCGCGGCGGTCACACAGAGGCCACGTGCTCAAGCGACGCGTGGCCTGCACCGACGAAGCGTCGACGCCATCGCCCGTGACTTATTTTAAACTGCAAACGATTGTATTGTTACTCTTAGGTTCTTTCGGTAAAGTCGCGTAGGTAAAAATAATAATAAATGAAAATAACTCAATTAAATCACGACGTTTCGGAAGCAACACAAGCCTCCGTCATCAGGGGTAACTGCTCCAGTAAAATTTACTTAATTACGCTCCAGTAATTTTACTGCAGCAGTTACACCTGATGAAGGAGGCTTGTGTTGCTTCCGAAACGTCGTGATTTAATGTAGTTATTGTTATTTATTATTATTTTATAATTATTATTATTTTACCTACGTGACTTTACCGAAATAACCTAAGAGTATGAATCATTGCAGTCACGAAAGCTTCAAATCTAGACCTATTGTATTGTTATTTAATTATTTTCCAGGGTACAGAGCCCACTGAGCTATTCACAGGTGAGCCTGGCAACACGTGATGATAGCTCGTCGTCATCGTCGTCAACACACGTGTAACATGTGGAACAGCAGCCAGATGAAACTAAACTATTGATTGATTTTACCAGGTAAGGCCCACTGAGCTATATAGCGCTCTTTCAGAAGCAAATAATCGCTCAACAATCTTAACACTGCCCATAGGCTTAACACTGCTCATAGACTCAACACTGCCCATAGACTCAAGACTTCCCATAGGCTTAACACTGCTCATAGACTCAGCACTGCCCATAGACAACATGTTAACTATCTTAAATTACGAGGTGAGATTCGCTGAACCATAGCTCTGTTCAGAGTCCACCTGGCCGCGCATGATGACAGCTCCTCGTCACAGTGGCCGATATCATCATCGCCGTCACGCGTGGGAATATTTGATAGTAAGGGCCGAATCCTCTGCGGGTGAGTTGGTTCTCAGTGTGGAGGAGGAGGAGAGCAAACCCAGAGGGACCCGAAGAACGCTCCACGGGGAGAGGGAACACGCGGATTCCACTCACTCAATCACACCAACACTCACTCACACCAACACTCAGACTAACACTCACACTCACTCACTCACTCTAACACTCACTCGTATTAAACTCACTCACGGTTACACATACTAACATTTACTCGCACGAAACCTCACTAAACTCACTCAGACTAACACTCACTCACACTAACACTTACTTGCATGAACACACACACACAGACACACACATAACAACAACCGCCATTCGCCACTAAGTGGCGGTGACGTCACCACGACGCTTGTGCCAGGCCATGTGCACCTTGAGGCCACGTGAAGTGTCGAACGTCCGCTGGCAGGAGGTCACGGGGCAGACCCAGGTGCCACGGGTCGACTGACTGAGATGACCGAGATGACTCACACACACTTACACTCACAATAACACTCACCCACACTAACACGCACACCAACACTCACTAACACTCAGTCACTGGAGAACAGGGGAGAGAACACGTGGTCCCCCACTCACTCACTCACCCACACCAACACTCACCCACTCCCACTAACACTCACTCACCCACCATCTCACTCCCACTGTAGAATAGGGGGCGAGAACACGCGGCCAGGGTCTGGGATCGAACCCACGCCTTTCCTGCTGCGTACCAGGCGATGGAGACATCTCCTCGCCATTTGTGAAGGGTTTTTCCACCTGACTGACGCTATTCCGGGAAACGTGTGTGTGTTTTCCAACATGATGTAATGTCACCAACTACTTACGGCACTACGTTCGGTTCACGTCTCCGATGGCCAGCGAAATACAAACGCAGAACCGTGGACATTGAGAATTCGGGGAGAGACAATGCCAGTAAGAGATCGATGCCAATTACCGGTGGTAACCCTTGATGCAGCAAATCTGGCTGTGACGGTCCCACCTGATGACGGAGACTTGTGTTGCCTCCGAAACGTCGTGATTTTTATTTTATTTTTTATTAATTTAATTTTTTTTTACCTACGTGACTTTACCGAAAGAGCTAAGAGTAGGGAACCTTCATGCCAACCCAAGTACGCGGGGCCCGAACACTGCAGTGAGATGATGGCTGTTGTTGTTGTTGTGAGC